GCGGCCGAGGCGAAGGGCGGCTCCGGGGCCGGCTTCCCGTGGAGCGTGGGCCGGCGGGCGAGCGAGCCCGAAAGGGACGGCTCCTCCCGTCAGCTCCTGGCGCTCCTAGGCCGCGCGGCTCCTACAGCTCCCAGGATGCAGTGCGGGCACGCAGCCATCGCGGCGAGCGTCCGGTCCCGTGATGCACCGCGGCCGGAAGTGCGCGGCCGGGGCGGGCCTCGCGGGCCTCGCGACCCTGTGGCTCAGGGCAGGGGGCCTGGCCAGCGGGCGGTGCCAGGTTCTGTTCCCGACGCCCCAGCAACCCTTAACCCCCGCTGCCTGCGAGTGGCAAAGCTCCGCGCTGGCCGTGTCGGCCCAGAACTGACCTCTGTTCACGTGGACATCAGCACGTCACTCCCTCACTTTCCCCTTTTAGTCGGAGGCCCTGCTGCGCTCTGGGTCTTGAGAGGGAACAAAGCACACTTGTGTAGTGACACACGAAGTAAAGCAGGGAATCCGAGGGAGAGGGATGGAGAAGGCCTCGGCCTGGGCAGCCTGAGAAAGCTTCCTTGAGGCGGTGACATTGAGATGAGAGAGAAGGAGCCGGCGCTGCTAAGCTCTGGGCGGGCACCAGGCCCTGGGGTCAGATGCCAGGGCTCTGTAAGGCGGAAGTGGGTCGTGCAGGCAGCCCCAGCCGCGTGGGGCTGGGACACACTGCAAACCCTCCTGCGTGTAGTGCATCGAGCGTTAACTCAGATTTCACAACTTCCCGGTGTCGCCCCTGTCACTATCCCCATTTTATAGATGAGGAAGTTGAGCACAGAAAGGTTTTCTTGCTCAGGGTCACACAGCTGGGGTAAAGGGAACACCATCCTGGCAAAGATGGAGCTTTACTGCAATCACAAGAAGAAGCCATTCAGTGTTTCAAGCAGGGATGTGGCATGTTGTGATTTTTTTTTTTTTTTTTTTTTTTTCAGTGAGCCGGCACAGAGATCCGAACCTGTGACCGTGGTGTTAACAGCACCACTCTCTCCGAAGTGAGCTAACTGGCCAGCCCCGATATTATTGTTATTTTATTTATTATTATTTTGTGTGCATGTGACTAGCCGATACAGGGATCAAACCCTGCACCTGGTGTTATCAGCACCATGCTCTAACCAACTGAGCTAACTGGCTACCCCTATCTTTCTTTCTTCTCTTTCTTTTTCCTTGGCAAAATAACACTTTTAAAATTTTGTCATTTTAACCATTTTTTTTCCCTTTTTGTCTTATTTCGATTTTAACCATTTTTAAGTGTACAATTCCATAGCATTAAGTGCATTCACGTTGTTGTACAACCATCACCACTATCTCAGAACTCTGCAATCATCCCAAACTGAAACTGTACCCATTACACTGCCGTTTCCCCCTGCACCAGCTCCTGGCAAACATCATCCTACTTTCTGTTTCTGTAATTTTGACTACTCTAGGTACCTCGTGTGAGTGGAATCTTACAGCAGTTGTCCTTTAGTGTCTGGCTTCTTTCAGCATGTTTTCGAGGTTCATCCAGTTTGTAACATGTCTAAGAAGGCTGAATATTTCTGTGGTTGTTTTTTCTTTTTTTCTGGCAGGTGGCCAGTATGGGGATCCGAACCCTTGACCTTGGTGTTACAACACTGCACTGTAAACCAGCCGAACTAACCAGCCATCCCATGGTTGGCTTTTAAAAAGATCCCCCTAGCAGCTATGGGGAAATTCAGAATGAGAGACAGGGGATGGGGGAATGGAAGCAGGCCTGGCAGGAACTTGCTCATCGTAGTGGGAGGGACAGTGGTAGCTGGGGGGCGTGGGGGACACATGATACAATGTGGAGTAGAACAGGCAGAGAAGTGGATGTGTTCGTTTGTTCCTCTCCAGAGCACCTGCTCTGCTGGATGAGGAAGCCGGGTGAAGAAAGCACAGGCCCCATCCAGTAGGTAGGTTACCCGCGGTGGAGGAGGCAGACAGACCTGGTCTGAAGTTCTTGGCTTTGACACTCATCAGCTACAGGGCCTTTGGCAAAATCTGATCTCAGAGCATCCTTTTCTAACCTTGGGAGATTCAGAGGAGGATTCAAGGAGGCAGCGCCAGGAAGCCTGGGAACCTGGCCCAGAGTGATGGCCCATAAAGCAGGGTCATCTGAGCCGAGGCAGGTCGGCTCTCTGCAGGGCCCGAGAGGAGGTCACGGAAGGCTTCGCGGAGGAGGCCGTCGGGGCTGGCTGGGGCAGGGCACTCTCAGAATTCCAGCTTCTAGCAGGGGTGGGTGTAGGGCAGCGGCCGGGCCGACCCTCAAAAGACCCCTCCGGCCCCCTCCCTGGGCTCGCACCTGGGCCTGGGAGCCGAGAACCTCTGAAAGAGTGCGTTCCATCGCGCGCAACGCCGGCCTCCCGGGGGAGGCGGAACGGCAAGCACGTGCGTGAACTAACGGGCAGCTGAGTGCAGCCGGCGCAGGGCGGGACGCGGAGGGACGCCGCGGACCCCAGCGCGGCGCAGCGGGAGCGCTCGGGGGGCGGGGCCGAGGCCAGGGG